TGGTTTAAAGCAAAATTAGCTGAGATCGTGTTGCTCGCTGGGTTTCAAATAATCTTATACTGACAACATTACATTTTTAAAATAGAATCTGTTTTTTTTAGAGCAGAATAGTGAGATTAACGTAATTGGTTTATTCAGGAAAAGAACATAAACTCACTGAACCTCAGATTTTACAACCACTCACATAAGAAGCTTGTTTGTGCCATTTAAAGTCTTTACTTTTTTGTTTTAGATTAAACAGATGCCAAACATACTTCACATTTTGTTCTTGAGCCAAAATCCTCAAGGAATTTAGGGCATTGTTTTACAATCTGTCCCAGTTTTACATTTACTGCTGAAATCTTAATCCCCTATCATCTGTATTTCACTATGTTAAGAGCACATTGTAAAAAAAATATTATTGGAAACTTTATTTTCACTGCTTTTAACATCCACACAGCCTGCCATTTGCAGCACCTTTGGATCACACACACACACACACACACACACACACACACACACACACACACACACACACACACACACACACAGACCACTGAGCTATTTTCCCTTTAGAAATCTGTTCCACGTTTGCTTTGAAAAGGCAATTTACACTCGCGATGTGAATCTCAGAGGGTAACTTTTGGGGTCAAGTCAGTCATTGTCCATTATCAGTCACAAAGATGCTCCGGATGAAAATTCACTCTCAATATTCATCATCGGCCTATTCATTTGATATCAGTCTATTCGTCTGGTTTATAAATTATGCATCCTTTCAGTTGATTGTGCTGGAATAGAATTGACCTTGTGATGTAACTTTCCATTTTGCGAGTTGATATTTTGTTGACATGTTGGTGGAGTGGGTAGTTAGCAGCGTTGAATCACAGCCAGGAAATAGATTTGTTGATACAGTTGCCCTGCTCAGTCTATATCACATCTACTATTAAATGATCTTTTGGTCATTGAACGTGTGCTGATATTGAGTGAGTCAAAATTAATGTACCAGTCGATATGACTTCATTCATTGATTGATAATTAACTCAACCCATGAGCTCTCTAAGGTTATAAATGGTGACTTTTAGCATGTGGCTGCTGCTTTTATTCACAGGGACGTACCATTAGTGAACAGGCAGAGACTGAGTTTGAGGACACTGCAGTAAAACCTGCTACTTAACAAATTGTCTCTCACCTGCTGGCCCCAAATCTTCATCTATAATCCATGCTCTGCTAATCATTTGTGTATCTATGTGCCTCTTGTCCCTGCATGTCCAGACTCGTTCATTCAGGGTGTTTCTGTCTCTGTCCTGCAGACCTGATCCACTGCACCAATGAGATGAACGTCAGCATCCCCCACCTGGCAGACACACTGCTGGAGCGCACAGCCAGTAACAGCTGGATAGTGGTTTTTAAAGCGCTCATCACCACACACCACCTCATGATGTACGGCAACGAGGTGAGTCAGAAACACAGACGCATGGAAGCTCAGAAAGGCTAAAGATGTTTTTCACAATCGTGAGAAAATCCTTTTCATCTGGATGCAGCAGGTTTCTCTTAATGACAAAAACAAGCTGACATTTTTCTAGTAGTTATTTACAATATAGAAATATTTGTACATGTTATCCTCATATATGCAAATTAGCTCTCATAACTTTGTGCGCTCTGGTTTATTTTGAATATGCATACACTATTATAAAGCCACAAGTACCTTACCCCTAATTTAAGTCTTATGGTAAACAGGGATAAACATCTATTCCTAGATTACTTTGTTTGGTTATGAATTTGTATTATTTTTCAGTGGACAGAAACTCATCAGCAACATTTTAAGTTAACTATTAATCATTCAAAGCATTCAACAAGGAAGACATGCCGAATATTTGACTGAACTCTTAAATTTGCTGCTTTCTTTTCTGTTCTTCATAATAATTGTAAATTTTATATCTTTAGATATTCTTTAATTATTTTATTACCCCAATAGTTGTTTTATTCAGGGTGAAAATAATCAGCTCATTGACCCACCCGCCCACAAATATGACAGAGGCGCAGTTGTCCAGCGTGAGTTATCAGTCTGTCCAGAGACTGACATTTTGCTCACCTGGTCATCGTAATTTCTCTCCAGCTCTTGCAGTGAGTTTCTTTGAAGCCTTATCTTCCACGTGTCCAACAACGAACGATGAAGTATCCAGCTGACATTTCAATGGCCACTGAGGCAAATTGCCTGACTCCATCGCTCGCCCTACAAGAGCAACAACCAGAACATCAAACGAGTTAAACGATGAGCGTCTCAGACTAGGAAGAGGAGCTGCTGCAGCGATAGCTGCGCAGCCAGGACAGCCCACTCAAAGTACAGGAACAACAAAGGGTTTACTGACATGAGTAGTGACATGTTTCATTTTGTGATAATTTTTCAGGGATAAACTGACCTGATCAGAAAAATTGTGTCGTCTAAAGCAGCATGATTTGGCATTTTTATTTCTTTAATGCGATGCATTTTCTTTATAAATCAGATGCTGGAATGGCAGTAGTCATACTGTCACTGTGCATTCACATGCTCCTCGGTTAGGTCCTCTTCCCCGAGTTGAGGGGTTACGGTTCTGACTTTGGTGTGTTCATGTGCTTTAAGATGGAATGTGGAGAAAAAATTGACACTGTAAACAAAATGTGTTGTATTTATGTGTTCAGAGCATTGGAACAACACTTTGACACATCTTTACAATATTTGAATAATGACAAAGATCCAAGAAACGCACATTCATTAAAAAAAGATAAATAAAAAGTGGTGTGTTGTAGTTTATCATTGGTTGGAATAAAACATGTAGTTTCAGTAAAGGATTGTTGTTGTTAGTTTTGTGCATTTGATTCACTGTCGGCTCCTGGTTTTTGTGGACCATGTGATTTGTGGTTAACTCCACTTACACTGCCTGTGTCAAGTCCAGTTTCCTGTAAGGTCAAAATGTCAATTTCATTACTTTGAGTCAACAAACTCAGCCTCTGTGAGCACTTATAAAGCTGCCACTCTTCAGATGAACTCTTCTCTCAGGACACACACACACACATACACACACACACACACTGCTGCTGTGTATGTGTGGATATTACCTTGATATTGTCAGGGAGCAGTAACAGATAAGACACTAACTCTTCCCTCTATTCTCCTCTTTTCTCCATCAGAGATTGATGCAGTACCTTGCCTCCAGAAACACGCTCTTCAACCTCAACAACTTTCTAGATAAGGCTGCACTACAAGGTGATTTAATGCCATTTGGCTGTTTGTAAACTCAGCAGTGCTGTTCGTCTAACAAAATGACTTTATGTCACACTCCCCCTGGCTCTGTAACACTATCAATAAGCCTATTTCAGAGGAAAAAACCCACCCCAAGATTGCAAAGCCACAAATGTGCTTTTCCTTTGTTACAATGAACTGTTTATGGAAAGTAAACATGCAGTGTATTTTTAATTGAATATGTTAGAAAGGGGAAAATGAATAAGTAAATATATCTCAAGGTCAAATGGTGCCAGAGCCTGCAACATTGGGGAAACAAGACTTGTATTAGGAAGTTAGGAAAAACTTCATATGAAAATTATTATGGTTTTATAATCTGATTTGTCAACAAGGAAAAAGTGATCAGTCTCTAACTTGCCTCCCCAGGATATAACATGTCAACTTTCATCAGACGGTACAGCCGCTACCTGAATGAAAAAGCCATGTCTTACAGACTAGCAGCGGTGGACTTCACTAAGATGAAGAGAGGGTAACAAACACACACACTACTGACACGTCACTCATAGAAAAAAGTCATAAAGTAAGTAACTGAACCTGTAATATCTATAAAGAACATGAGTTACAATAAGCCACTGGTCATACTCATCGACTGTAAATAAAGTCTCAGTTTAATAAGAATGACAAAAAACATCTTTGAGATAAAGGTGACTTTTTAGTTTGGTCCATGTCCCATCTGCTAACATGGAGGAGGTGGCGTTTATGACCTATACTGCAGCCAGCCACCAGGGGATGATCAAGATGATTTGGCTTCACTTTTGCGGAGCTGTCTCTCATCTTTATATTCAGTCTACGTACCAAACTAAATGAGGATCCAGTGGCAAAACCACTTGTTTTGAACTGAACATGTATTTTTTCCACATTTTTAATTTGATGGAGAATAAAGTGTTATTATTTCCTTCTTGTTTAATCGTGTGCATTTCTTCATCATTAATTCCTGTGTGTTTCCTGTATTTGTGCTCCTGTGTGTTACCAGAGCCGAGGGTGTGATGCGCACCATGAACACAGAGAAGCTGATTAAGACTCTGCCTGTCATTCAGAACCAGCTGGATGCACTGCTGGATTTCCAGGTAAACATGTCATTGCACCTTTACAACTCCAGCCGTGTTTGTTCATACCTGGTGTCAACATCCATCCTGAGAGATCCCATCACAAATGGTCAGTGCTACGTCACAGGTCTGAATGCAGTGACATGCATTGTGAGAACCGATCACTTTAAACCACTGTCAGAGGTGGTCTGTGACGCATGTGGCCACATTGTTTTGCTCTGTGAACACAGATGTGTCTTGGGCCACATATGAACACTGATCACCACAGAATGACTGATGCTTTAAAGGTTCAGTGTGTAGAATTTATTGAGATCTAGAGCTGAAGTTTCATGTTGCAGTTGAATCCTCACCTCACCCTCCCCTTCCAAACATGAAATAGAACCTGTGGTGAACTTCAGTTGTCATGAAAACTCAAAAGGTTTTAGCTTGTCCAGTTTGGACGACAGTAAAAAACATGGCGGCCTCCATAGAGAGGACCCCCCTCCATGTAAATATAAAGTTTTAAGATATAAAGGGCCCATGCTATGATAAAGAAAACAACAATTCATACAATTTAGATGAAACGCACTGCCAAAAATTCCTTTCACCTAAATCTTACACACTGGACCTTTAACTAAATTTGTAAAAGCTGCACAACATTCATTCATTCATTCATTCATTCATTCATTCAGCCTCTTCTGGCTCTGCTCGCTCTCTTTCTCTCTCTCTCTATCTCTTGTTGACACACACACACACACACTCAAACATTGTCATTGGACACGTCTGTAAACTCAGACTGAGTAAAAACATCATATATTGGTCTTCGCGAACACAAATGATGGTTGTGATTATTTGGATATAGAGCAGGAAGTAAGATCTGATCACAACTGGTCACAGGAGACACATTCGGGACATTTAAATGCCAGGTGTGAACAGACAAACTTTGCGCTGTCCACTTGTGATGGGATCTGTCGGGACAGATGTCAACACCAGGTGTGAACCGGGCCTGAAATATCTTGATCTGATCTTCTTCTCCTCCTCTAGCCCAACTCCAACGAGCTGACCAACGGAGTCATCAACACAGCTTTCATGTTGCTCTTTAAAGATTCCATACGGTTGTTTGCTGCTTATAACGAAGGGGTCATCAACATGCTGGGTAAAGCACACACGCCACAGTTCACCCACCTACACTGTATTTATGGAGTAATGTCCCTGTAAAAGCCGAGATCACGAGACCGTGACTCCACTCAATCTTTCTTCGGGGGGGAATCAATTTGTCCTGCTACTGCCTCTCAAAGTTCAATTAAAGACGATAAAGATCATCTTCTTTTCTACAATTAATTATAAATCCAGTCAGGGGGAAAGGACCATTGCACGCTTTGCAGCAAAGTTCATTAAATGACTCATTACTTAATTGAACCGATCTTTATAGTAAAATAATTTATTTAATTACTGGATGGTCGGGGCCATCAGGACAAATCCAAAACAGAAAACAACCAAAATACGTTACCACACACTTATTAACATTATCATGAAGCATCTCAGTGACCTAGAATACATAATAAAAAATGTTTGTTGCATATAGACAAGTAATATGGTCTTATTATCCACAGAGAAATACTTTGACATGAAGAAGAACCAGTGCAAAGAAGCTCTGGAGATCTACAAGACCTTCCTCAACAGGATGACCAAACTGTCCGAGTTTCTCAAAGTGGCTGAGGTAACGTCTGTTCGTCCTCCTCTGAGGAGGGAACGCAGAGTTAAACACCACAGGAGAGGGCGGGAATATCTGTCTGGAGCAAAAACTCAACGGTCTCCTCTCTCCTTTATTTGCAGACACTAAATATTCATCTCTGATTTTCTGATTCTAAGCTGCAGCAAAAAATCCATTTTGACCTGTTGAGATTTGCTCCAGACTTCTGTTTCCCTTTGGGCTCTGATTTACAGTCGATATTTTCAAACCTAAATCGACCGCAGATCAGCGTCCAGGGTCTTCTTCTTCTCCCTTTCTTCTTCTCCCTAACCTTCCAAGTCTTCTTTTTGCATCTAGATTTTCTGTCCTTCTCTTGCCCTGACCTGGGGAGGGGGTTATACTCCGAGACAGCGATTAATGGCTGAGTTTTTAGCCTATCAGAGAGCCACTCATGTAGAGCTTCCAGCTGAGGGACCCCTCGCGTGCTGCCTGTTCACATGCCTGCACTGCATGCCCAAGCAAGCTCCTCTATCACTATCTCTGTCTCCTCTTCCTTTTTATTTTAATTCCTCCCTTTAGAATATATATTTCTTCATAATGGCTGTTATTGTTAGCAGTTTGCAGTCGTTGCTAGGCTTCACAGTGAATATCAACAGTTTTATCCTCTGCGTAGCATTTATGCGCCATCTCCAAAGGCTTTCTCACTGCTTGGTTTCGTTCCCATTTGGAAGAAGGTTTGGGGTGCGACCGCTCGATCCAAAGAAACTAAAAACAACAGCAGACTAACGTTGACTTTAAGGACCCATTCATTTTACCTGTCTAACAAAATGTGTGTTTGTCTGTTTGTGTGTCATCTGTGTCCCTCCCTCCTCTTTCTGTTCAAAGTCAACATTAGTTGAGTGTCTTCCTTTTGGATGTGTCTTTACCTCACGCAGTCATGTGACCTGTTGTCTGCCCTCTCCGCCCTGCCTGTTCAGTCAGTCGGTGTGTGCTCGGCATTCATTTCAAACCCGTCTCCAGATCTCAGTGTGCGTACGCGTGTGTACCTTTAAGTGTGCGTGCGTGCACATGTACTGTATTTATAGGTGTTTGTACGTGTGTGCATGTGCCCTCCTCCCCTCCTCCTCTGTTGTCTTTTGTTTGTTTTCCTTTCCAGCCACTGCATGAAGTAATGAATGCTTGGGTTTGATTCTTCTTTCTCCCTCCTCCTCCTCCTCTTCCTCCTTCACATGCCTCTTCCCTTTTTTTACTCTGTTGGGTTTTTTCTTTTTGGTTAACTCCTTGTTTTATTATTACATTGGGTTTATTTTTATTTTGCCTCCCTCCTCCCTCCCCTATCCCCCCCTCCCTCCTCCTCCTTTTTTGTGACACAGCGAGTTGGGATAGATCAGGGCGACAGCCCCGATCTCACACAGGTCAGTCCACATCTCATCTCAATCAGTCAATCAACCAGTCAGTCAACCAGTATTTAAATCCGTCAAGTCAATCCCATAATGCTTCATTCTAAACGCTCCCGTTCCCTACTCACCCTACAGACCTGCCTACACTGCAGCTGCCCCGTTCTCCTCCTCTCTTCTTCACTCTCCTTAACTCCTTCGCTTTTTTCTCCTCTTCTGTCTGAACAGTCTAGAATAGAGAGGAAACAATAAATGAAGACCTGCAAACAGCCTTGAAGCACCTTTCACAATTTTTAAGCATAAAGTGCAGGAGTTTCATTTTTTTCCTCCTATTTGAATCTTTGCAGAACAAATTTGATTCTGAGGTAAGATTTTTTTATGACTTTAAAAGCAGCGTTTATGCAGCTGCCTCTTTTTTTTTCGATTTTAGATGTCCACGACTGGGGCTTAGTATCTGTTTCAATTTTTCTCCAGCAGTCATTGTGGCATTTTCTCAGTCTAAATAATCAAGGCTTGTTTCTCATCATGCAAAATAAGTCAGCACAACTTCCTGAAATACAGTCCAACATGAGCAGTGTTCAGATCAATTTCCTGAAAAGATTACATCCCGTTGCATTAGCTGTGGGGAGAGCAGCGAATGGTTTTATTAAGTAGGTTTCTGCAAATATGACTTGGATAGGTGTACATAACGCCATCATACGCACTGCACATCATGCAAAAGGCCTTCAATTCAACTTATTCTCCTTAATTGGAATTTCCAATATCACAAATCAGGTCAAAACAATGTGAAAGTTTTATTTCTTTTAAATGAATGTCATGTTTGTAGTGCTTATGAAGACCTTATATGCCCTTATTCAACTACATAATGACCCATGCCTATACTGAGCCCTAGATATGTGTCTGTTTTACTTTTAAACTCTTTAGCATATTCTAGATTTCTCTGAAGAAGGATATCAAGAATTCGCATTTTACTCTCTTTTCCCCCTTAAAATAAGTATATGAGAAATCTTTTCTTTGCTTGTTGTGTTTGCACTGTGTTCTCTTGGCGCTGAAATGTGAGACTCTGGGGGTGAAAACCGTGGTATCACATGTTGTCAAAATGAACCCATCCATCCCTTTTATTTTCCAATGAAAAGTTGCTGGCCAGCTGCTCAATGTGTATACCTGGTTTTTCACCAGATTTTACATTTCACCGAGTTAACTTCCTTGGCTTCCAGTCGGAGAAAAATGACGGCGTCTTCGTTAAGTTGCTGCCTAATCTCCAAACTGAATCACAAGAACGTTGTTTAAATCTGACTCTTAACTTGAAATGGAATCCACGGGTTAACTCCAAATTTTTGGACTGTGATTTTCTTTCTGTGTATGCGTGTGTAAGTGTGTGTTACGAGAGCGTCTGTGCGCTGCTGGCGTCTGCATGGGCTCGTTAAACGGTTCAGAGATGTGTGTTTGTTGTGTTTCTCCTCTGGAGCCCCCGCAGCAACGATGCTCTAATCTGTCCTGACCCGTCAGTCCCGCTGCGGACTCGCTTGCATGATCCAGGGCTGACGTGTGCATGCTGGTCAACCAAACCTGATGAAACCAAATGCAAAAAAAAGTACGATGAGCTGTCCTAGAATAGCTAATGAATCCCAAGGTGATATCTTAATTTTGCTGCTGCTTCTGTGTGTCTGCGCGTATCTTTAAGTGTGTGGAATAAAGTGAGGAGGTGACGAGATGGGAGTGAGAGAAAGCAATATGTCCCCCTTTGTCTGCTTGGCTCTGGTTCTAATATGACCTCCTCACCTCCCCACACCCTTTAACCCCCCCCTCCTCGCAGGCTCCCAGCTCTCTCCTGGAGGCTCTGGAGCAGCATCTAGCTTCTCTGGAGGGCAGGAAGCTCAAGGACCTGTCCGCGGCCAGCAGGTACGTTCAGATCAGAAAGATGCTGCTCAGATCTGTACTTGCCACTGTGACTGCCAGTTACACCAATCATGTTTGAGCAGGTTTTGTTGCCTACAGGTAAACAGTCCATGTGCAGAGCAAAAGAGGTGGAAAACATTGAACGAAATGCATCAGCTATTTTAATTTATCTGCACTGACATGCAGATAGCTGTTGTAGTAATAGAGATTAGGCAAAATACACCTAAAAAGACTGTTTCTCTTTAGTGTAGAGAAACGTTCGACTTGTGTGATAAAAGAAACTAGTCAGACAGAAAACGGTGTACGGCGAATGGAAGGCAGATTCTTTGATATCCACTGTCTACACGGAAGCCCCAAATAACTGGCCATTGTCCCCAAAGGCTCATTCATTGTCAGATGATGGCCAGTAGGCTCCACAGTTGGTGTACATGAGACATTTTAAATGTCAACCTCTTATTGGCTTTCTAGCTTAAAGGTTCAGTGTGTAGAATTTAGTGACACCTAGTGGTGAAGTTGTAAGTTGCAGCTGAATACCCCTCACCTCACCCTCCCCTTCCAAACATGACAGAGACAGAGGTAGGCTTCAGTTGTCATAAAAACTCAAAGCTGTTTGGATTGTCCAGTCTAGGCTACAGTAAAAAGAAAACATGGCAGCCTCCGGAGAGACGACCTGCTCCTGATGTATATTTAAATATAAAGGGCCCATTCTAGGGTGATGAAAAGAATAATTTGTACAATTTAAATTAAACACACTGGAGAAAACATCAGTAGGATTATTTTATATTTATTTTCTGCCAATAGATCCTTTCACCTAAATCTTTCACACTGAACCTTTAAGTCAGGGCATCACCAAACTCATTAGGCTTCATCTTCTGGGGACCGGGAGTTTCCACCGATATTTTCAAGGCATTTAATATTTGCTGACACATTTAAGTCTGAAGCCAAGTGGTGGACTGACAAACACCATCATCCTTACAGGCAAACAGAAAGAAGATGCATCCAGACTGAAATCTGTCAGTAACTATTTAATGGATTGCCATAAATGTTGTACAGATGTTCATGGTTTCCAGAGGGCTATGCAGTGTCTCAACATCTATTTGATAAACTTAAATTCACTTTGGTGCAGGCAGAAAGGTTTTTTTTGTGAACACGTGTTTCCTGATCTCTTGACGTTTCATCTTGTGCAGCTGCACAGTCGAACATTCTCCATATGTTTGATTAATCATTGAGTTTTTTTCTTTTCTGTCCACACTGAGCAGTACAGCCTCAGCCAGTTTGGCTTAGTCTTGTAAAAATAAAGTGAAGGTTACAAAGCACTATAAAGTGCAACTCAATAAATACAGCAATGACCAACAAAACAAAGCAAACTATAAATCCTGCAGCCTTTGCAAAAATGTGTGTGTTTGTGTGTCTCCCCGTTAAGATCCAGCACCTTGTCCAGTGCAGTGTCCTCTCTCTCCAGCACTGGGATCTCTCTCAGCCACATGGACGACAAGACAGAGGACAACAGACTGCAGCAACACAAGGCAAGACATCTGCAAGACCTTGTAACAGCCCCCCCC